CTGCCCTCGAGGTCTCAAACCTATTCCAGTCTCATGGGCATTTTCCAGAACACACAGTGAAAACCAGACAATATAGGTATTAAGGCAGATGTCTAGGACCAGGTCGGCTTCCCGGGTACTGCCACCTGAGACCAGGGTTTTCTGGACTCTTCCCCACCCTGCAGGAAGCGGGAGAACAGCCTTCAGGAGGACAGGGGCAGCTTTGTCACCACGCCTACCGCAGAACTGTCGAGCCAGGAGGAGACACTGCTGGGGAGCCTTCTGGACTGGAGCCTGGACTGCTGCTCTGGCTATGAAGGAGACCAGGAGAGCGAAGGAGAGAAGGAGGGTGACGGTGAGTGGTGTGCAGGGCTGGTCGTGCAGGTGGCCACCTTGCCTGTGCTGAGGAGAGAAGCATATGAGCCTGGCACCCTGGCTGGGGTGAAGGGTTTTCACCATCTCACAGACAGAGAGGATGTAGTCTAAGCCTGTATCCCTCTCTCCCTGGGTCATTATTGGTTGAAGGGCCTGGAGTTTTGGTGTGTGGAGCACTGGGTGTGTCACACCTGTGTATGTAAACTGCAGGAAGACCTTCACAACTTCCAGCTGCTTTTCCAATTGCTTGCTTTTGTGTCCACTCAGATTAAGGGAGTTGAGTGACCAGTCACCTGCTGCTGTCCTCAGAGTTGTTGGAGTAATTCTCCCAGCTTGAGAGAAACAAGGTCACTCATGGCTCTCACCTGGCAGTAGCCTGGGCCACCCAGTCCTGAGCAGTCTCTTCTGATAACTTGAGCTGTACCAATAAAGACCCTCCCCTTAATTTTCCAGTCACAGCTCCCAGTGGACTCCTTGACGTCACTGTGGTCTACATGAACCCGGAGCAGCACTGCTGTCAGGAGTCCAGCGATGAGGAGGCCTGGCCAGAGGACAAGGGCCACCAGGCACCTCCAACTCCAGCTCTTGGGCCCCTTCTCAGCAGCAGGGGAGATCTGGGCAAGGACATCACGACCTCTGGCTACTCCTCCGTCAGCAGCGCAAGTCCCATTAGCTCCCTGGATGGCGGCATGGGGGGCTCTCCCCAATCTACCTCAGTGCTGTCTGTGGGCAGCTACTCAAACACAAAGCTTTGCCACCATCAGGCCAAGAAGTCATGTTTACAGTGTCGCCCCCCAAACTCCCCAGAGAATGGTGTTCACCAGCAGCGGGTAAAGCGCCAAAACCTGTCAGTGCACAGTGATGAAGACACGAACTTGGGCTTCCTGAAGCTCTGAGAATGTCAGTGTTCGCCATGATGAATGTTTACTGTTTACTGGGGAGGGCCGCTGTTTCTCTGGGACATTACAGGCAGGTGCTGTGTCGACCCCGGAAGGGGAGCTGAGTGTGAGCCGTCAGGTCGTCAGACAGTGCAAAGCTCAGCCTCCCAGCAATCAGGCCACACCTGTGGAACCTGTCTGCTATCCCCAGGAGCATGGCTCTCTGTATTGGTGCTCACCATCCCAGGCCAGGAGCAGATAGCTTCTTTGCAATACTAGTGGCCCAGGTACCCTAACACAGTTCAAACCCCTCACTGCTGTCTTATTTTAGGCCAGTGGGGAGCTCTCATCTGAACACATCACTGCCCATTTCAACCCAGGGAGTCTGTGACCCTACATCTCAGTGTTGACTGCAGTCTGGTGGTCAGGCGTGAGAACCTTGAAGCTGGGGCTAAAGGCTCCTCTCCCTCTGGCACTTAGAACTCAGTTTCCAAATCTGTCTCCTCAGAGCGCTTTGTCTGTGCCCCGTTGTGCTCATGTGACCTTTCTGCACTGAATTTCTAGGCCAATCTTTCCCCATCTTTATTTCTTCTAATGAAATGAAAAGAGGGGGAGGCATTCGAAATAGAAGGTGTCAAATAAAAAGATAACAGATAAAAGGTAATTCCCAATATTGCTGAGCTTCAACTGAAAAAAAAAAATCTAGTTGTGCATGGTGGCTCGTGGTGGCAGTCTCAGCAGCCAGAAGTATGTGGCGAGGGGAGCAGAAGCCCCAGGTCAGACTGGCTGGGTCGGCGGCTGACCTCAGAAAGGAAACTGGTAACGGCCTCTTGGTTCTATCCGTGCATTCTTTCCTTATGGAAAATGGATTTTTCTAGAGGATAGCCATAAACAGTCACTTGTGATAACCAAATTAACAAAGACAGCTGGATTCTTGTGATAACCAAATTAACAAAGACAGCTGGATTCTACAGGAAGAAAGCAGGCACTGGACTCACTGCTTGTGGCTGGATTCCACGGGAAGAAAACGGGTCGCCGGTCCTTTTGGGCTAGCCAGAGACTGCCAGAGTGTCCGCTTCATTTGGAAGGCCTTGGAGCTATGAGGCAGCTGGCCTCAACACTTGGGGAGTCTGCTGAAGGGTCAGCAGATATGCTGACCCTAAATGTATGCTGTTTCCTCTTTAAAAAAATACCAGGAGTGCCCCCCAAAGACCCTTGAGCTGAAAGTACAGGTGGAGCAGGTTACTCAGTGTTCATTTTCTGTGCTGTTCCCAGTGGCAGCTCTCTGCTACTGTTAATAGAATGCTGGCCACTCTGGCTGGGGCACACTGGTGTAAGGAGAGCCCAGACATTTGGATTGTAATCACCTGGGCATGTGTGCGCCTGTTTCCTCGGCCGTAAGAGGGGACAGTGATACCTACCTCACAGGGAGGGTGTGAGGATTAAATGTGAAGAGACTCATGATATGACCATCTGCATTCATAACTGCCTCCCTCCTTGTCCATGGTGTCCCTGGTCATGACATGACTGACCATCTGTACTCCATAACGGTCTCCCTCCTCGTCCATGGTGTCCTGGTCATGGCATGACCATCTACATCCCATAACTGCCTCTTTCCTTGTCCATGGTGTCCCTGATCAAAATCACAACTCCTGTAAGTGCCTGTTACCCATGGAGAGGACCTGGTTTTAGTTCCTAGCACCCACAGGGTGGCTTACAACCATCCCAAATTTCCAGTTCCAGGTTATCTGACCTCTGCAGCACCATGTGTACATGTGGTACACATACGTACTGGCCACACACAAAACCAATCTAAGAATTTTTTAAATCTACACTCATTACCAGCCTGACCCTGTAGAAGCTACTCCGGGCACACTCCTGGCCCCTCTGATTTCTGTGAGTTGTTAATCTCCACAAGTCTTAAGTATCCCCCTCTTGCTGGAGTCTGTTGGAAGTAGTAGTGCCTGAATCTAGTCCCTTAATCTTCTTTGCTTGACACAAATTGTGTTCCCTGTACCTTCATACCTAAACAGCTAGGGTTACCTTACCTCTTGGGCTCTAGGATTAATAATTCACTAACTCCAATTCTGCTGGACACGGTTCCTGTCCCCACTTCTTCCAGTAGAAACAAATCTAAGAGCTACGTCTGGTGGCATGCTTCTGAAATTCTATCACTCAAGACATGGAAGAAGCAGCAAATGCTCTTAATCAATGAACCATCTCTCCCCTTCTTCCATGTTCTCTGGGATTGTGGTTTGTAGCTGCTTTCTTTGCTTTATGTTTAAAAACCATCTATGAGTGAGTACATGTGATAATTGTCTTTCTGTGTCTGGGTTACCTCCCTCAATATGATGTTTTCTAGCTCCATTTTCCTGCAAATTCAAGCTGTCATTTTTTTCTGCTGTGTAGTACTCCATTGTGTAAATGTACCACATTTTCCTTGTACATTCTTCAATCGAGGGGCATTAGGTTGTTTCCGGGTTCTGGCTATGACAAACAAAGCTGCTATGAACATAGTTGAGCACATGTCCTTGTGGCACGATTGAGCATCCTTTGGATATATACCCAAAAGTGGTATTACTGGGTCTTGAGGAAGGTTGTTTCCTAATTTTCTGAGAAATCACCACACTGACATCCAAAGGGGTTGTACCAGCTTGCATTCCCACCAGCAATGCAGGAGTGTTCCCTTTTTCCCCACAACCTCTCCAGCATAAGTTGTCATCAGTGTTTTTGATCTTGGCCGTTCTTACAGGTGTAAGATGGAATCTCAGAGTTGTTTTGATTTGCATTTCTCTGATGACTAAAGATGTCGAATATTTCCTTAAGTGTCTTTCAGCCATTTTAGATTCCTCTGTTGAGAGTTCTCTGTTTAGGTCTGTACTCCATTTTTTTTTATTGGATTATGTGATCTTTTGGTGTCCAATTTCTTGAGTTCTTTGTATATTTTGGAGATCAGACCTCTGTCTGATGTGGGGTTGGTGAAGATCTTTTCCCATTCTGTAGGCTGTTGTTTTGTCTTGTTGGCCATATCCTTTGCTTTACAGAGGCTTTTCAGTTTCAGGAGGTCCCATTTATTAATTGTTTCTCTCAGTGTCTGTGCTGCTGGGGTTATATTTAGGAAGTGGTCTCTTGTGCCAATGTGTTCAAGTGTACTTCCCACTTTCTCTTCTGTGAGGTTCAGTGTGACTGGCTTTATGTTGAGGTCTTTGATCCATTTGGACTTGAGTTTTGTGCATGGTGATAGATATGGGTCTATTTTCATTTTTCTACATGTTGATATCCAGTTATGCCAGCACCACTTGTTAAATATGCTTTCTTTTTTCCATTTATTTTTTGCGTCTTTATCAAAGATTAGGTGTTCGAAGATGTGTGGATTGATATCCGGGTGTTCTATTCGGTTCCATTGGTCCTCCTGTCTGTTCTTATACTAATACCAGGCTGTTTCCAGTATTGTAGCTCTGTAGTAGAGTTTGAAGTCAGGGACTGTGATGCCTCCAGAAGTTCTTTTATTGTACAGGATTGTTTTGGCTATCCTAGGTTTTTTGCTTTTCCATATGAAGTTTATTACCGTTCTTTTGAAGTCTTTGAAGAATTTTGCTGGGATTTTGATGAAGAATCTGTGGTTGGTTTTGTTTTGTTTGGGTGTTTGTTTGTTTGTTTTGTTTTTCTGAGACAGGGTTTCTCTGTAGCTTTGGGACCTGTCCTGAAACTCTCTCTTGTAGACCAGGCTGGCCTCAAAGTCACAGATCTGCCTGCTTTTGCCTCACAAGTGCTGGGATTAAAGGCGTGCGCCACCACTGACCGGCTTGTTTTTGCTTTTTAAAAAAAGAGATGGAGGCAGGAAGATGAGTTCAGTCAGATCCTCAGGTACATAGTGAAGTCAAGGCCAACTTAAGCTACATGAGATCCTGCGTCACATTCTGACTCAACTGAGAATACAGAATAGCGTACTGGTGTGTGTGTGTGTGTGAAATAAGCAACATTTGAGTAGCAGATCTCTGTAAGTTCAAGGCCAGCCTAGTCTACATAGCGAGTTTTAAAATGAAATGTAGGTGGTACAGAAATAGCTTTCGATAGGAAACATAAAGTGACGGTTGATTTGGCAAATCTTTGCGGGCAAAGACCATTGCTAGGCCTTACCTGCAGTGTGTGTGTACTGATCTACTGTCCACTGTTCCTAACCGCTACTGGTCTACTGTCCACTATTCCTAACCGCTCCCGGTCATTCTCTAGGCTTCAGCCTGCCCTCCTGTTATCCATCACGCCTCTGTTCCTTTCACAACCTGGCATAACTTAGGCAGATGGCTCCACTATCAGGCGGCAAACCCATCTAGGTACCATGTGTTCCAGATTTCCCGGGCTTCATTCCTCTCTCTCTTGGTGCCTGATAATTGTTCCCATGCTTTGTCCTTTGACCCAGTCCTAAAACATCATCTTTCATCCATATGCTAGATTGTTAAGTGGTCCTGGAGTCAGCAAGACAGTTTATCTCTGTTTTCAAAGTAGGTTCGACAGAAACTGGTCAAGACAGATGCCCTACCAGATGAGCATTATCTGGTTACCCAAACCGGAAGCGAGCTGCTCTTATCTACCCTGGCGTCCTTATCAAGATTCCAACAAAGCCTCCGTGGGGCGGGATTAGGGCGGAGCCTGTTTGATGACGTGATTCGGACTATGGAGCCGGTCTTGATCGCTGTGCTCGATTGGGTAGCCTAACCGGAAGTGGACGGCCGTCTGGTCCGGAAGGTGTGGGACTCCGAAGCGGCGGCAAAAATGCTTGGAGCGAAAGCCGACTACCGGCTACCCACGGACTGCGCGCGCCGGTGGGTCTCGTGCGACAGGAGGGACTGGTGCGGGCGGGCGCGGGGTTCCGAGGCTCACATGGTGCTTGTCCTCAGGATAGTGGCAGAGGTGCAGGGCGCCCTGGACTCCTGCGCGGAGCGACAGCGACAGTTGGAGCGGAGCCTGCGCGTTTCCAGGCGGCTGCTGCAGGTCTGGTACGCGGACCTTGGGATCTATCCAGGCCCTTCTCGGAATCATGCAGAGCCCCAGGGACTGGGAGGCCAAGTGCAACTGCACCCGTTGGAAGCCGGCTGCCTTTGCTATCCCTCCTTATTCTGCAGGGTCTGAAGCTGGGGATCTGTTTAGGGGTAGGGCCTGTTTGGGTCATGTCATAGCTGCCCTGTCCTTGTAGGGAACCAGCCAGGGTCTGAAGCTGGGGATCTGTTTAGGGGTAGGGCCTGTTTGGGTCATGTCATAGCTGCCCTGTCCTTGTAGGGAACCAGCCAGAACCCTAGCTCCGGAGCCAGAAACCAAGGAAGAGGCCCCAACTCCAGGTAAACCTCAGCTGCTTTTTCCACGTGCTGCCCCTGGCCTTTCTCTGACAAGTTGTTATGGGGGCTCCATCCTGGGACAGTGAAGCCTGGTTCTTGACTTTCACAGCATGCACACCGAGTGCTCAAGACCTCAGGGAACTGGAGCTTCTGACCCAGGCACTGGAGAAGGCAGTACGAGTGAGGAAAGGTCCGTCTAAGGCTGGACAAAGAGACAGAACCCCCAGCCTGACTTCTGCATCTAATGCAGCCGCTTCTGGTGCCACTACTCCTACCCATTCCCAGCCCTCCAGCCAGGCTGGCAGCCGTGCATCAGGTGCAAGATCCACCAAGGGCGTCCAACGGGCCACAATCCCTGCCAAGGACCACCCCAAGGGCAGACCTCTGTCAAGGGGAGATAGGACCCATATGGGAACAGAATTCCAAGCTACCAGGTCTGGACCAGGCCTCTTGGACCAACAAATGGCCCCATCAGCTGTTCCTCGTCCCACAGAACCCTTCACCCTGAAAGAGAAGGGGTAAGCCTCTCAGATCCTAACTGGAGAAACTGTGTTCTGTCTGTTCATCTCTTAGCAGGGCATTGAGCTGAATGGGGAAGCTCTGGGTACCGCTCCATAAGTGTCACGCAGTGAAGCAGGCAGGGTAGAACAACTGGTTGGGATGGTATCAGGTTTGTCGTTCTGGAGCCTGACCAGCCAAGGGGCTTTAAAGGGACTCTGCATGGCTCGGGTGTGTTCTTGGTGTTGGTGCCCTTTCCTCTCTCTCTGGACTGGGTCAGCACCCGAGCTACTCCAGAAGCCCTTTCCAAGATGCTTGCCTGACAGTTAGACAGTTAGCAGAGAGGGGTGGAGGAGGTTCGCCCTGATGGGCTCTGAGCCAGGAGTAAGAATGACAGCCTTAGAATGAGAAGAGGCTGCTCCAAGCATTGGCTTCTTTCTGACAGGACTCTCCTACAATTACCTGCGACATTCAGGAAGGCGGCTTCCCAGAATTCCCGGTAAGGAATTCTGAGTGGGGACTGGGAGACAGGGGAACCATCACTAACATTAGGACTTGCAAACAGAACCCTGTAGCAGGCCTCTCGGGCCCCTTGTGCGCAGCGTCTGTTACAGTCCATCAGGTGCAGTGGCTCTCAAGCTCCCAGGTCAGCCGCTCGGGTGGCTGGTCGGTTGGTTAGCTTTGAGTTTTCGAAACAGCTTTTCTGTGTGGCCCTGGCTGTCCTGGAACTCACTCTGTAGACCAGGCTGGCCTCAAACTCACGGGGATCTGCCTGCCTCTGCCTCCCAAGGGCTGGGATTAAAGGTGTGTGTCACTGTCACTTGACTTATTTTTTGTTTCAGTGTGTGTGTGTGTGTGTGTGTGTGTGTTTCTGTGGGTACCTCACCAGGAGAGGGTGTCAGGTTGTGAGCTGCCTAAGGTGAGTGCTGGGAGCCGAACTCATGTCCTCCCCTCTAAGAGTAGCAAGTGGCAAGTGCTCTTAACCACTGAGCCATCTCTTCACCCCTCAACCATTCAATTCCAGGCTGTCTTCCTTCTGGAATGACAGGAACGGGCCCTGTTTCATAGAGGTGCTGCAAGGGTCAGGCAAGATGGCGCCTCTCAGGCGTTTGCACTGTGCCTGGCACAGCTCTACCCTGCCCTCTTGTCTTTGTCAGTATCTCTAGGTTCCCTGAGACTTCCGTTGTCCTTACTGCTGTATAACAAAGCCAGGGATGTGTGCCCCCATCCATCTTCCCCTACCTCTTTAGGTCCCTTGTTGTTAGTTAACTATAACCTTGCTCCTCCTCTGGGGCTGCCTCTATCCCTGTTCCAGTCTGTGGGCCCAGCTCAGCGCTGTACAAGCCAGTGACTCCACAGATGCCACCAGAGCCGCCAAAACGCAGTTCCTCCAAAAACTCCAGCTGGCTGTATCCTTACTGGCAAGGAAGAACCGGGGGTTTGTGGCTCTGAACCTGGCAGGTTGGGAAGGGGCCACTGTGGCATGGCAGTGGTATCTCTCCCAACCCACCTCGGCCACAGAAGTTTCCCTGACCAGTCTGCAGTCAGGCTGCTCCAGCCGCCGGCCCAGTGCTGCTGAGGTAGAGGCTCATGCCCAGAGCCTGAGGAAGGCCTGTGCACTGCTGAGACTTCGTATGCAGAAGGCGCTGTCAGCAGGTCAGTGGGCCTGACGGGAATGGTGGAGGGTGGCAGGAAGGCTTTGGGGACCATCACGGACTCCATTTGCCCTCCTTAACTCGTGTAGCCCCCACTGACTGGATGCAGGAGTACCGATGCCTGCTCATGCTGGAAGGACTACAGGCCATTGTCGGACAGTGTCTCCACAGGATCCAGGCGCTCCAGACAGGTGAGGTGTTACCCTGCCACTGCATGTGCTGAGCTCTGAACTGGAACAGGCATTTTAACCTGCCCTGCCTGTGACTGAGTAGGCACCAGCCAGGCCCAGAGGCAGGCAAACGCATCACACCAAACATACCACACATCCTGCCACACACTAGGCTGGGTTTTTGTTTTGTGTATTTGTTTTGTTTTGTTCGTTTATTTATTTTTTGATGCAGGGTTTTTCTGTGTAGCCCAGGCAGTAACGGAACCTGCTCTGTAGACCAGTCTGGCTTCCAGCTCAGAGATCTTACTGCCTCTGCCTCTCGAGTGCTAAGATTAAAGGTTTGTGCCACCACTGCCCAGCTTACAGGTTGTTTTAAAAGCTTGACTTTGGGGGACTGGAGAGGTGGCTCAGAGGTTAAGAGCACTGACTGCTCTTCCAAAGGTTCTGAGTTCAATTCCCAGCAACCACATGGTGGCTCACAGCCATCTGTAATGAGATTTGATGCCCTCTTCTGGCATGCAAGCATACGTGGAAGGAATGGTATATACATAATTAATTAATTAATTAATAAAAAATGAAAGCTTGACTTTGTATCCCTTAAAGTCCAATTGAGAGTAGGGAAGAGATACCTGGAAAACTAAGTACTGGCCTGTAAGGAAAGAGAGACTATAAACGGCTGTTCTCTTAGCTGTGACAGGAGGACCGCCAGGACCATGCCCTGTGGAGAAGCCCACCCAGGCCTCATCACCCTGTGGAGGAAAGATGGACTCTTCCTGGAGCCCTGAGCTCCTTCTCTACTCTAGCACCGAGGAGCTGCAGACCTTGGCTACCTTGAAGCTTCGCGTGGCCATGTTAGACCAGCAGATCCATCTAGAAAAGGTACTATATCAGCAGGAGGTGGTGATGTGTACCTGGGTTCCTGGGAGCCGGTGACCTTACTAGGCTGGCACTTGAGCCCCCTGTGGGTCAGTCTCAAGAGACCTGGGATAGGCTGTGACTGTGAGCCTCTGGGTCTCTGTGTGAACTGGAACATTCTCCAAGTACATTGTGTGCCCGGGATGCTTAGAATCTCAGAAAGGAAGGCCGGAGAATGGAAGCTTGTCCCAGGACTTCCCACATGGGGAACCCTGGGCTAGTGCCCCAGGATAGAGTCCCACTGAGGCTTTGACCTTGTACTGTTCCCCAGGTTCTGATGGCTGAACTCCTCCCTCTGATAAACACCCAGGAGCCAGGAGGGCCACCTTGGCTGGCGCTGTGCCGGGCTGCATACAGTCTGCTCTGTGAAGGAGGTGAGCACTTCCTCACGGTTCTTCAAGATGACCCTGCCGACTAAGCAGGCTGAGCAGAAGTCTCTCTGGGAGAGTCCCCTCCTCTCAGCTGGAGTGTAGTGAGCAGGGATTGAAGGGGATTTTCCTGTTTGGAGGAGCTAAGAGCACAGAGAGAGCTGTGACTTCCCTGGGAAAGCTAGGTGCTCAGGGAGGCTGTCGGGGTGCTCCCTCAGTGCCACATAACCACCAGACTTTCTGGTCAGGGCTCCGCTTTCTGCCTTCCTGGGAAAGCCCCCCTTGACTGCCATCACTGTCTCGCTGTAGGCCACAAGCTACTTGTATGAATCTGGAGCTGTGTGTTTATATCGCTTCAGAGTAGGGCTTAGTAAGGAGCTTTTCATGTTCTTGTCTCTGTCTTTGTGGTAAGGACTTTATCAATTAAGGGGCTTGGACACACCTATAATCTCACCACTGGGGAGGCTGAAGCAAGGGGATCCTAAGTTCAAGGCCAGCCTGAAACCCTGTCTAGATTAAATAAATAAAGGAAAGAATATATCAAGTAGAATTTTCAAAAATATGATTGTCCTTCTGCCTAAGGGGGGAAACCATTAACATTTGCTCACTGACCCTGCCGTCTCTTCCCCACGTGTGTGCACGTGCCGCACTGAGCCACCTCAGAGCAGACTTGGCTCTGCCCACAGCCATCCCAAGGTCCACCCTGACTCCTCAGGTGTCAGTTTTGTCGCAGCCTGTGGGGTCTCTGTGTCCTGCTGAGTCCCCACTCGTGGCATTGTCACCTCATAGGCTTTGCCCGCTATTGTAAGAATTGTCAGTTCCCTGGGAAGACAAGAATGGGCAGGGGGCAGAACATGGGTTTCAGCATGGATTTCTGGCTTGGGATTTCCTAAAAGATTCTTTTTCTTTTTCTTTTTTTGGTTTTTCGAGACAAGGTTTCTCTGTGTAGCAGCTTTCCCCTCACTGTCCTGGAACTCGCTCTTTAGGGCAGACTGGCCTGGAATTCACAAGAGATTCTCCTGCCTTTGCCTCCCAAGTGCTGGAATTAAAGGCATGAGCCACCACCACCCAGCTCCTGCAAGATTCTTAAGGACTCCCAGCCTCAGTTCCCCAGAATTTTTAAAACTATTCTATTTTGGGTGCTGGAGAGATAGCTCAGTGGTTAAGAGCATCCACATTATGGCTACAGCTGCCTGTAACTCCAGTTGTAAGAGATCTGGTGGGCTCTCCTGGCCTCAGTAAGCACTGGACATATGTGGTACACATACATACATGCAGGCACAACACCCCCATATGTATAAAATAATATATTTTGGGGAGGGAGGTTGAGACAGGGTTTCTCGATAGCTTTGGAGCCTATCCTGGAACTAGCTCTTGTAGTCCAGGCTGGCCTTGAACTCACAGAGATCCACCTGCCTCTGCCTCCCGAATGTTGGGATTAAAGGTGTGTGCCACTACCATCCTGCTTTAATAAATAAATTTTTATGTGTATGTGGGTTCCTGTATGTATGAATGTGTACCTTGTGTTTTTCTGATGCCTGCAAAGGTCAGAAGGCCTCAGATTTCCTGGACTGAAGTTGCAATTGGTTGTAAGTTGCCACGTGGGTGTTGGGGACAAAATCTGGGACCCTTGGTACAAGAGTACCAAGTGCTTTTAACTCCCAGGTCATCTTTCCATCCCCTAGACTTTTTTGTAAATGGTCTTTCCTTTGATTCTTTTTTTTTTTTTATTTAACATAGTTTCTTTATTGAATCTTTAGGAATTTCACATCATGCACCCCAATTCTGCTCACTTCCCAGTCTCTCCATATTCTCCCCTCCTCCCTACAATGGCCCCCAAAAGAAAATTTTAAGACTCAAAACAAGCAAGCAAACAAAGAAAAACAACACAACAAAACAATGGCAACAAATCAAAAAGAAAGCTCTTCGCTCCTCCATCTTTCCCGCCTCGCCAGCGCCGTCCTGGTGGATTAAGAGCCGCAGTGTGTCACAGTGTAGCCTTTTGTCCAGTCAGCTCTCCTTCAATGAGTCACTGGTCCGGTTCAAGGCCTCTGGTTCCCTGTTACACCATCATTACTGGTCCTCACCAAAACTCTTGGATATCCTGCAGTTGCCACAAGTCATGGAGATCCTGCAGTTTCTGTTCCACGGGACCAGACCCTTCACTAGCTCCAGCAGGATATAGATGGGGTAGGTGCTAGTGTGGGCTAACCCCAGGTCCAGATGTAGGCCTGGCTGGGAGTACCTACATTCAGATCGTAGTAATTGAGCCTGGGCCACTGGGGCTGCCCCCACGGAGCCAGCTCCCCTAAGCCCATGCCATCAGGGTCAACTCTCCGGCAACCCATGGTGAGGGGTGGGGCCATCTCTCCTGAGTGGTGGGAAGGGGCAGCTCTCGGCAGCATCCAGTGAAGGGCAGGGTTGGTTCAGCATGGCCTGATTCTTCCTATGGTCCCCTGAGGCGACACAGGCCACAGACACCAACTGCAGCAGGAAATTGGACCCAGATATGACCCTTGGCAGCAGCTTGGGCCTGGACAGCATCTTGGCTCCAGGTAGAGGCACAGACTACTCAGATAGGATGGCTCTGGTGGCAGCATGTTCCCCAAATACCAGCAACACCACAGGTTGCTGATCAAGGCTCATGTTACCATCGAAGGCCATGTGGATGCCCAAATCTGGGACTTTATTACTGCCCGAGGGCCATACTTCCACTGGGACTGTGCCAGTCTGAGTGGCCTGCTCTGTCCTCTGGAGCGATGGTGACATCCAGACCTGGCTCCTGCCAAGGACCATGTCTGAGTCCATGGTCCCATCACAACCTTTGGTGCTGCCACCAAAGGTTACACAGAAGCTAGGAGTCAAGGCTACAACCTGCGGATTCTTCTTTTTTTTAAAGACTATTTTTAGCTGGCCATTGTGACCCCTACCTTTAATCCCAGTGCGCTTGGGAAACTGAGGCAGGTGTATCTCTTGAGTTTGAGGCCAGCCTGGTCTTTATATATTAAAACCCTAATCCAAAAAAGAAAAAAAGATTGTTTATTTTTATTTATTTTTGTCTTTTCAAGACAGGGTGACCTTCTAGCCTGTCCTGGAACTCACTCTTTAGATCAGACTGCCTTGAACTCACAGAGATCCACCTGCCTCTGCCTCCCAAGTGCTGGAATTAAAGGTGTGCGTCACCACACAGCAAGACCCTGATCCAAAAAAGATAAACAAAGATTTTTTATTTTTTATTTTTTTTGTGTGTGAGTGTGTGTATGTGTGTGTTGTTTGTTTGGTTGGTTGGGTTTTGAGACAGGGTTTCTCTGTGTCGCTTTGGAGCCTGACCTGGCACTAGCTGTATAGACCAGGCTGGCCTTGAACTCAGAGATCTGCCTGCTTCTGCCTCCCCAGTGCTGGGATTAAAGGCATGTGCTACCACCATCCGGCTAGTTTATTTTTAATTGTGTGTGTATGACAGGGCTGGAGAGGTGGCTCAGCAGTTAACACATTGGGTGCTCTTCCAGAGGATCCAGGTTCAATTCCCAGCACCCACATGGCAGCTTACAATTGTCTGTAACTTCAGTTGCAGGGGATCAGACACCATCACACAGACATAAAAATAAATATCTGTATGACCTGTGTGTGGGTTCCCTCAGAGACAAAAAAGAGGACATCAGATCCCCTGGAGCTAGAGTTAAAGGCTGCTGGGAGCTGCCAGGTCCTCTGGAAGATCAGCAAGTGCTCTTAGACAGGGTCTTTATGTAGCCTTCACTGGCCTGGAACTCAGTATGTAGACCAAGTTGAACTGAGACAGAAAGCCACCTGTCTCTCCCTTTGGAGCACTGTGATTAAAGGCGTGCGCCACCTGCCCAAAAGCAAGTATGTGTTCTTAACCACTAAACTATCTCTTCAGCCCCTGTTCCTCAGACTCTTGTTGAGGCAGGATCTCACTGTGTGGCTAGACTGGTCTCCAGCTCCTCGGCCGCCTGCCTCTGCTCACAGGTGCTGGGATTTTAAGTATATTTGAAAAGTCCTTAACATGTCCCAGGCACTAGTTTGAGCTGCCCACTAGCATCGTGTAGATGGGTCCAGCCTCACTAAACTAGGGAGAGGACAGGGACCTTCCACAAGGGACAACAGCCTCTGTCACTCACGGGAGTTACTGCTCCTTCAGGGGCCCCAACAGGTCGTGTGCCAAGAAGTAAAACCTTGTCTATGGAGAGCCAGGTAAAGTGTGTGGGTGAGGGGGTTGGACTGGGTGATGGTTAAGCAGCTGGCTCTGGTTACCAGCAGGTGGCCCTCCTTATAAAAGAAAGTTTTTACAAAGGTCAGTCCGGCCTGCCAAAATCAGTCAAGACACAGTCCAGGTCAACAAGGGCGACAAGGGAACGAGAGACAGTAGAACATAAAAAACTATGGCCATCCTTGGACTGAGACGTGTCTCCTGGACACCAGAATCCAGGAATCTGAGGCAAGAGAGGAGGCTGCTTCTCCCTGTCCAGCTAGCACCCAGCCCCTCATTGAATCACCCATTAAACTAGCCAAGCCCTTTTCGGTCACTCCACTGCTGCCTGGACGGCTTACGCCCAAGTGCTCTGATCCAGAGGAGGTCTTAACCCTGCCAACTAGTCATTTCCCACCCTAGGACCCCTTTCCACAACAGTCTATCCAGAATTATTCTATCGACTGGTTCACTTGGTTTAGTATTATTCCTGCTGTCTCAATGTCCTACCCCGGTGCTGAGTTATAAATCCTAGAAGGGAAAGGCACTATCCTCTGTTCCTGGCCTGCCTCTGGGGAGCTGAGTAGTCCTTGACCTTCCTATCTTCCTCCAATCTAGGCCCAGGTAGTATCCCTCTGATTGTTCTAGGTGCTCAAAGCCCGAGAGGTGCCCTGGGTGGAGTTTTAGGGTATTTGTGAAGGGTTCATGAAGCTAGAGGAAGCACTTTAGTAGATATTACACACACGCCCACTCAATTCCTAGCCAAAACCAGGAGGAGGCAGTGGAACTCCCAGGCATCCTGGTGTCGTCACCACGTCAGGGACTAATTGTCTCTGACGTGGCAGAGCAGGGTGTAACCTGTGGTGGGCATCCTTACCATCGCCACCCTCGTTCCCACCCTGATCACGGCCACCTAGTCGGAAACATGAGAACATCAGAGCCCTTGCCCGAGCCCACCCTGCCAGACCTGGCGTCCACAGAGTCCCCTGGAGCCCTGCACACCCTTTTCTTGGCCACCGGCGGTGCAGGGGGCTCCTGGCCGCGCTGCATCCTGCCCTTCGGCGCCCTGGCGGTGCTGGCCGGTGCAGCTGGCACGGGCATCACCTTCTCGCTGTGCGGGCTCTGCCTGGATCTGGTCCAAAGCATGTCGCTGGCTGCTTTTGGCGCGGGCCTCGGACTCCTGTCCGCCACCTTTCTGTGCTGGCGCACTCGGCAGCAGAGGGCTGGGCTTGTGGAGCAGCAGCGAGAGCCCCGGGCACCCTAAGCCTGTGCGCGGGGCCACCTCCCAGCGAGGTCTAGGCGAGGATGGTGCTGCATTTCAGTGTAGTCGGGACATAGAAGACCCTCCCTAAACTTTATTTTCGAACCCTCAAGAGGTAGGGAGGGCTACGAGAGCCTTTGCCCTCTCCTCCCTCTCTGTCCTTCCCCCTCAAACCCTCCCTCCACCCACCGATGCTTTTGAGCGCGGAGAGCTGATTGTTGCTGCAGAGCTGGTCTGACTATATGGAAGGGGAGGGGGTTCGCAAAAAAAGTCGACGCAAAGGTGCAAGGAGAGTGTGGAACTGTCTGCCTTCCTCACCACATCTGGACCCCTGGAGACATAATAGGCACTCAGTAAATGTTTGTTCAAGGCAAGAACAAGTGGCGGCGAGTGTCTGAGGCGGACAGTAGATCCTGGGCTGGGTAGGGGGTTATTTGAGAGGTCAGCAGCTCCCTGCGGCCTGAAACTGTCACACTCTATCATCCCTTGCCCCCTCAAAGCCAGCTGCTGAGACTGGATTGGGGTGAGAGTGCAGAGTGGAGCGCTTGCAGGTGTGAAGCGGGGACCTGGAACCTCTTTGTTGCAGAAAGTGCCTGGAGGGGGTAGGAACCATGAAGGACTAAGAGGCCTCAGTCAGGGGCCGGGACAGGTGGCTGGGTCCACAGAGAGTTCTAAGCCTCTCTTGGAGACTGGAGAGAGCCCAGGACACCATCTGCAAGAGTAGCCCTGGGGCCAGAGTCTGTGCAGAAGGCAATTCAATGGCCATTTGAGCCCCTGTCCTGTGCCCTCCCGGTCCCCTAGGACTTGATCAAAGCTGAGCCCAACACTAGCTTCCACCCACATCAGAATCCATCACATGTTTTGCAGACCCCAGAAGCCAC